GATCAAACCTCTGCTTTCCAGAGGCCCACATTTTAGTGGATGAAGACAGATGCTTAAAAGAAAATCAGTCTGCAATATCACATGGTGATTCATACTTTACAGAAAAGTTACAAGTCGACATAGATTGAAAAGTGGGGCAGGCCTGTATTTTACATGCAGTAGTCATGGAATAAAGTGGCATTTGAACAGAGACCTGAGTAAAGTGAAGGAGACAACTGTTGGCTCCCTGTGGGAACACTGTTCTAGAAGCCACAGACAGTGCAATGTCCTGAAGCAGGAATGGAGTGTTCTGAGCCGTTTAAGGGAATGGAAGGGATCCACTGTGGCAAGGGATGAGTGCTGGGAGAAATCAAAGAGATGGCCCAGGATCATATACGGCCTTATTGGCCCTGGTAAGGACTTTGGATTTACAGAGCCATGATAATGAAACTGATGATTTCAATAAGTGAGTATAATGCAACTGCTATGAAAATAGTAGGGTGGGGAGGAGGGAGAGGCTGTGAGAGAGCTCCAGGAAGTTGGCAGGTAATGCCTGACAATGATGAATTAACAAATGGCCGCATGCACAAAGTATTAGGTTGGTGCAAAAGTAATTGTGGTTTTTGCCATTATGTTTGCACCAACCCAACAACTACAATGGTAGAGGTAAATACTGGAGGAAGCAGCTGAAAGGGTTGAAAGTGGCTTTGCTGGGGGTGAGGAGGAATAGAACATGAGGCTGTTGCTTTTCACTATAAGCCTTTAATACGATTTGAGTTTTTGAAAACTGCAAACATTTTTTTTAAAGCTTGTGAAAGTTCTGGATGATGGGTGGGACCCTCATCTGTCAATGTGTAAGATGTGAAACAGCCCTGACAATGTAGCTGGTGCTAGAGAGATGGGTCTGTGTCCAAGGTTGGAATATGCTGTGTAGACCAGAGATGCTTTACATTCCAGGGTGGTCTTTTCTAGATCACTGTCTTAGTCTGCTTGTGCTGCTATAACAAAACCACAGACCGGGTAATTTATAAGGAATTTATAAGGAACAAATTTATTTCTTGCAGTTCTAAAGATTTGGAGGTCCAAGATCAAGGCACTGGCCTGTGGTATCTGTTGAAGTCTGTAGCCTCACATGGCAGAAAGGGCAAAAAAGGGAACCAACTCCCTCCATCCAGCCCTTTATAAGGGTGCTTAATCCCATCCACAAGGGAGGAATCTTTATGTCTTAATCATCTCTTAAAGGCCCCACATCTAATACTATCACATTGGCAACACCTGAATTTTGGAGGGGACCCTTTCAAACCATAGCATTCCAATCCTGGCCCCCCAAAATTCACGTACTTCTCACATACAAAATACATTCATTCCATCACAATTGCCCCCAAAAGACTTAAATCATTCAAACAGGGACTTTAAAATCTAAGTCCAAATCTTATCTAAATCAGGTATGAGAGAGACTCATTCACTTTGAGATAAATTTCATCCTGAGGCAAATTTCTCTCTAGCTGTGAGCCTGCGAATTCAAATGACTTGCATACTTTGATTCAAATACAATGGCGTGACAGGCACAGGACAGATGTTTCTAGTTCAAAAGGGAGAAACAGGAAGGAAAAAAGAGTAACAACAGGTCTCCAGTGAGTCCAAAACTCAACATTGGATCTTAGGCTTGAGAATAATGTTATTTGACTCCACATCTCACCTTCTGGACACACTGGGGTGGGTGTTGGGCCCCCAAGGCTCCAGGTGATACCACCTCCAAGGCTTCCCTAAGTATTGGCCTACTGGGGGGCTCTCTGCAGTGGCTCCACCCGGTGACAAATCTCTGCTTGGGCCCTGAGGTCAAAGAAATCCTTTCGATCTAGGTGGAGGCAGCCATGCTCCCACAGCTCATACAGTATGCATACCTACCGAGTCAGCACCACAAGGATGCCACCAAGGTTTGTAACTTATGCCCAGCCTGCACCTGGTCCTGCTTGAGCCACAGCTAGGGTGACTGAGGAATGCTCTGCCGGAATGTGGGAAGCAGAGACCCAAGGTGGCCCTGGGCAGTGATCTCTGAGACCCCACAGGCACCTGGGCCCTTCCCCTGAAACTGTTCTGCCCCAAGGCCCTAACCCTCTGGGCCTCCAAAGACCAAGGCAGCCCCAAACGCCTTTGGGGTCATTTTTCAAAATGCCTTTGCGGTCATTTTCTCATTGTCTTGATAACTAGCACCTGGCTTCCTTCTACACATACTAATCTCCTTATCAGTCATGTGGCCATGCCCGTGGTTCTCTCTCCTACACGTACGTTTTTATCTTGTATATGGCTAGGCTGATAATTTTTCAAATATTGACGTTCAGCTTTCCTTTTGATGATAAATTCTGCCTTCAAATCATTTCTCTTTTCTCAAGTTTTTCTCTTTTTTTTTTTTTTTTTTTTTTGAGATGGAGTTTTGCTCTTGTCACCCAGGCTGGAGTGCAATGGCGCGATCTCGGCTCACTGCAACCTCCCCTTCCCGGGTTCAAGCGATTCTCCTGCCTCAGCCTCCTGAGTAGCTGGGATTACAGGCTCTCGCTACCACACCCGGCTAACTTTTGTATTTTTGGTAGAGACGGGGTTTCACCGTGTTTTTCAGGCTTATCTCAAACTCCTGACCTCAGGTGATCTGCCTGCCTTGCCCTCCCAAAGTGCTGGGATTTACAGGTGTGAGTCACCACGCCCAGCCTCTCACATTTTCCTATAAGCAGTTAAGAGAAGCCACACAGCATCTTGAACACTTTGCTGCTTTCTATCTCTTCTGCCAAATATCCTAGGTCATCATTCTTAGGTTCTGCCCTCCATAAAGTCCTAGAACACGACATAATTCAGCTAAGTTCTTTGCCACTTTATAACAAGGATAACCTTTCTTCCAGTTTCCAATACCTTGTTCTTTATTTCTGTCTGAGACCTCATCAGAAGTCCCTTCACCATCCGTATCTCTATCAGCATTCTGTTCATGACCACTTAGGCAATCTCTAAGAAGAACGAGGCTTTCCCCACAGCTCATATCCCACACCTACAGCTCTCCTCTTCTTCTGAGCCCTCACCAGAATCATCCTTAATGCTCCATTCATGGCAATCCAGGCTTTTTTCAGCACTCACTTCAAAGCTGTTCCAGCTTCTATTCATTATCCAGTTCCAAAGCCACCCCCACATTTTTACATATTTGTTATAACACCTGGTTATAAATGTTATAAACTTCTCTGGTACCAGTTTCTTAGTCCCTGTTGTGCTGATATCACAGAATACGACAGACTGGGCAATTTATAAAGAACAAAAATTTATTTCTCACTGTTCTGAAAGCTGGGAAGTCCAAGATCAAGGCACCAGCATCTGGTGTCTGCAGAGGGCTGCATCCTCACATGCAGGAGGACAAATAGGGTGCCAGCTCCCTCCAGCCAGCCCCTGTATGAGGGCATCTACTCCTAGTTCAGGAGGGAGGGGCCCTCATGGCCTAGTCCCTTCTTAAAAGTCCTCTTCTCAGCAGGGTGTGGTGGCTCACACCTGTAATCCCAGCACTTTGGGAGGCCGAAGCGGGTGGATCACCTGAGGTCAGGAGTTCGAGAAGAGCCTGGCCAACAGGTGAAACCCCGTCTCTACTAAAAATACGAAAATTAGCCGGGTGTGGTGGCAGGTGGCTGTAATGCCAGCTACTCGGGAGGCTGAGGCAGGAGAATCGCTTGAACTGGGGAGGCGGAGGTTGTAGTGAGCCGAGATCGCGCCATTGCACTCCAGCCTGGGCAACAGAGCGAAACTCTGTCTCAAAAAAAAAGTCCCCTTCTCTTAATGCAACACCTGGATTTTGGAGGGGACACATTCAAACCATAGCAATCACCAACAACTGGCATTTTTCTCCCACCCTACATATTCTTTAGGTAACCACCCAGGCCAGTGAGGAAAATAATCAATCTACTTCTGAATAAATCCTAGCTATAGTCTCATGCTACTGTAAATGGGATAAAAGCAAACCATGCCCGAAAATTTTTGGAATAAAGTGATGTTTATGCCATTATGCTGATTTTTACAAAATGTGAATCATATTGACCATGTTCATTTGTACTAGACCACCACACCAAAACTTTTTAAAATTATTTTCCAATTAGGTGACACACGATGTTGTGCTTTCGTATGTACATCTCTAATTTCTGGGAGATTTATAATTGTATTATTTTGTGAATCATCCGTTCATGTCTTCTGCCTATTCTCCTACGGTCTTTTTCTTATTAATTTGTAGACTGTAATGTAATAGCTGTTTCCTATACAGCTGCTACAAACATGTTTCTGATTTGTCGTTTACCTTTTGATGTCCCTGATATTAAAAGATGCTTATATAGCTGAACATTTTTCTTTTCGAGTTCCCCCCCCTTTATGTTTATGCCTTGGAAGGCTTCTCTACCTGAAATCAATAAATATTTACCTATCCTCCTCTTTCCCCACCCTCATCCTTTTATTTTGCCCACATGTTTAAAGCATTACAGACAGTGGAGTCCAGTTGGTCATGTAACTCACCTTACAGATGAGACTTCAGTGACATAACATAAAGGCTTGTTTTTTGTTTGTTTGTTTGTTTGTTTTTGGCGGAGTCTCGCTCTGTGGCCCAGGCTGGAGTGCAGTGGCCGGATCTCAGCTCACTGCAAGCTCCGCCTCCCTGGTTCACGCCATTCTCCTGCCTCAGCCTCCCGAGTAGCTGGGACTACAGGCGCCCGCTACCTCGCCCGGCTAGATTTTTGTATTTTTTAGTAGAGACGGGGTTTCACTGTGTTAGCCAGGATGGTCTTGATCTCCTGACCTCGTGATCCGCCTGTCTCGGCCTCCCAAAGTGCTGGGATTACAGGCTTGAGCCACCGCGCCCGGCCAAGGCTTGTTTTATGAGAATGTGTTGATCCTTCTTAACGTGGCTTATGATTTGCAATCTCAGGCACATATTGTATTTCCTCCCAAAATATACATTTGTTTGCCTTCTTCATTAGCCACCTAACAGCCTTCTCCTAATTTTTTAGGTGTCCTGATGGCAAATTTCCAGGGCCACGCGCTCCCAGGGAGTTTCTTCCTGATCATTGGACTGTGTTGGTCAGTGAAGTACCCACTGAAGTACTTCAGCCACACACGGAAGAACAGCCCACTGCATTACTATCGGCGTCTTGAGATCATCGAAGCCGCAGTCAGGACTTTGTTTTCTGTCATCGGTAAGAGCAGGGGTCATTTGGTCCAGGGAATCTCCTCCCTCATACCCAGAACCTTTAATTCATGTTTTGAGCCCTGTGAAATAGATGTTTCCACTGGCAGAGATAATAGGGCAACAATTTCCAGATGGCCACTAGACTATTTTATTATAACATCCATTGCGTACAGAGCTTTATAATACTAACGGTTGACGGCTCTCACATCATGGGACACTGTGAAAAACTATCAAATCAACAAGGACACAGGTATGGAAAGTTGTAGGAGCAAAACACCCACTGTATGAAAAAGATCTGACACAAATACAAAGAGAAAAAAACCAAATAGATTACGCTCGTGTACCTGAGCTGTGACAAAGTAGAAAAATCACCTTTTTCCTCAATTGTCTCTCCCTCCAGATCCTTACAGTAGTTGACACTCAACCCATTGGCTCTTCCTCATCCTCAAGTCTCAAGCGCGTAGAGAGAGAGAGTTCATGCAGATTAATAAATTAGCCAGTAGGAGAGAAACAGCAGCAGAGGGCTGTTGGAGAGGGAATTTCCTTCACTCTGCCCCATTCCAACAAGATCCACCCACTCCCAGTTTCCTTTGCATCCACTCGGCTCCACTGGGGCCCTCCAAGAACAAGCAGTGATGATAGTAATAAGTATTCTTCCTCAGGACCAGCCCCACCTGGGGGGAATGAGGGGTCTTAATCTGCAACTAACAATCACCACTTGTCATCAGTGGCCTGTGGTTTCTTGAAGAGAGTGAAGCAACATCGCTGGCTTCTCTTGGAGGAAGCAAGGCTTTATGGAGCTTTGTTGGCCTCATCCTGCCGAACTTCCCCACTCACCATTCACGCATCAGAGGCTTCCCGTGAGAAGTGACAGGGACCTGCGGCCTAAAGGGTCAGGACAGCGTCAGCCTTGCCTAAATAAAGCTAGGACAATTACAGCATTTGGTCCCTTGACTGGGTGAAAATGGTACTCATTCAACAGCTCTCTGGCACTCCTACCACATGCCAGGAAGTCACTGTTCCAGGCACAGGAGATACACTGGGGAACCACACAGTCTCTGCTGTCACAGGGCTTCCATTTTAGTGTCACTGGGACTTTTCCTGGGTCATTTCCACAACTCCTCGACTCTTTGTGTGGGAATTCAAAAAGGATCTGGCTTGAGAAACAAATATCTGGGGAACAGAGTCCAAAATGTCATCATGGAGGATTTCTTCTAGGCTTCCCCAAGAACATTTTGGGTACCAGGCATAAAAACAAATCTTTTGCCTTGCAAATTAGGTATAAAAGTAGAAGGGATAAGAACGAAGAGCTATCCTGTGGCGCAGTTTCGTCATTTTCTGGCCCACACCATGGGGCCTCTGCCTTGTTTACCCAGTGTTTTAAAACACAGAGCTGGGAGGGGCACAGGGCTTGCAGAGCTGGCTCTGTGCCCAGGAAGGACACGCACTCAAAGTCAGCCCTGCAAACACGCACCTGGGAGCCGCCTGCCTCCCTTGGCACGTACAGGTATCTTCATTACCAGTGTCTCTGCTTGGATTCTGCTTTCAACCTAACTGTTTCTGTCGGGGATTTCTTTCACTGCTCACTAGGCAGGGAAGCCCAGGGATTATTCCATCAGCCACACTCCGACTTAAGCGATGGTGTCTTGCTCATCTCCACTCCTGGGCAAACCTCCTGTGGGTCTGGTTGCGTTCGTTGATTCTTCTACCCTCAACCCCAAACCCCTAAAAGGAACAACAATGGCAAGACGTCTACACAGGTTACTCAGCACACACCCTATTTTATCCTGCAGCAGCTGCACCTGAGGCAGCAAAGTAGGTCTGCTGACCCGCAGGCCACCCTCACCTCACCTCATCTCCGCTTCATTCACGCCTTTGGGCTGTTTCTTGCTGCTATGTGTCTTGGAGTCATTCTTCCCTCTAAAACATCCATTCTCATTTCCCTGCAGGGATCCTGGCAGAGCAGTTCGTTCCGGATGGGCCCCACCTGCACCTCTACCATGAGAACCACTGGATAAAGTTAATGAATTGGCAGCACAGCACCATGTACCTATTCTTTGCAGTCTCAGGAATTGCTGACATGCTCACCTATCTGGTCAGCCACGTTCCCTTGGGGGTGGACAGACTGGTTATGGCTGTGGCAGTATTCATGGAAGGTAATTCTGTGGAACGGATGGAGAGGAAGGATAGCCTGACAAGCCGTATTTATGAAGGATCAGAGTACAAAAGACCAGAAATGTTGCAAATATAATAACCTTCCCCAGAAAATCCACATCTCTGGGCTGCCAAAACCTGAACAGGACCTAGTGCTCTGCTCTGGATGGGCAGGCGGCATATTCCTGAAAGCAGCCCGTGAAGGCTTTGAGGCTTGCAGGCAGCTACCAAGGCCCCTGGTTAACACTGCAGGAGTCCTCCTTGCCATCCCACTGCCGCCAGCAGTCCCTGCTCACGCACGTGCATACTCCTCAGTGTGGATGGATGTGTGCACATACACATGCGTGTACACACAATACCCCAGCAGGTTGAATGCCACCATGCAGGGGATACATCCCCTTGGTTAAGCGAAACCACACTGTACCCTTCACCCAGGGAGGTACCGTCTTGCCCCCATCATAAGTCTCAGGAGACCCACCCCGCTGCTAGGGGCACGCTCCCAGTATGACTCACACTGACTGGGGTATGAAAATACATTTTGTCATCTAACAACCTCACTTCTGTACCTCGGCAAGTCGAAAAAGGTTGAGGGCAAAACTGAATTTCAAGTATACACATAGTCTGTTACAAGTCAGCAACATGCTTCAGCCGACCCATCCTATACTGACCCACCATGGGTTCCAGAGAGATTTTAAGATACAATCCCGGGCTGCTTTATACTCCTAACATACTCACGAAATACACTTACTCGCATCGGTTTGCTGCCTGTAATGTTATGTAAACTAACTTCCTAAACGCTGAAGAGTCTAGCTGAGACAGGTGTAGGAGGAAACATCGGTGATGGTGAAGGCCAAGCGTGGCACTGACAGCTGCCATCTGGTTTGTGGCAGGTTTCCTCTTCTACTACCACGTCCACAACCGGCCTCCGCTGGACCAACACATCCACTCGCTCCTGCTGTATGCTCTGTTCGTGGCGTGTGTTAGTATCTCCCTAGAGGTGATCTTGCGGGACCACATTGTGCTGGAGCTTTTCCGAACCAGTCTCGTCATTCTTCAGGGAACCTGGTTCTGGCAGGTGATTTTCCACACCCAGGCCCCTCGCTGGTATGGATGGAGCAGCCCCACTGAGTGTAGCCCTGATTATATGGGGTTTGCAAATGCAGCACTAACATGCCATGCAAAGGGTTTAGATGTGCCTACCCTTTGACTTCTAGTTTTATCCATTAACATCCAGAGGATGCGTTAGCAATCCAAAATTTAGAGCGTGCACAGTGAGGTTCAGCTGCCCTCCCCGAGGAGGGGCTGATGCCTTTCACAGGCTCTGCCTGCTAAACTCTCCACAGGAAATGTGGGCCCTGAAGTTCTGTTTTGTTTCTTTCGAGAGAGAATCGCCCTGTCACCCAGGCTAGAGTGCAATAGCGCAATCTTGGCTCACTGCAACTTCCATCTCCCAGGTTCAAGCAATTCTCATGCCTCACCGTCCCGAGTAGCTCAGGTTACAGGTGCCTGCCACCACATCTGGCTCATTTTTTTTGTATTTTTAGTAGAGACAGGGTTTCACCAGGTTGGCCAGGTTGGTTTCGAACTCCTGACCTCGTGATCCGCCTGCCTCGGCCTCCCAAAGAGCTGGGATTATAGGCATGAGCCACTGCACCTGGCCCTGTTGTTTTTAAGTAAGCCTTAAAATTAACCTGAAGTCATTTTTTGTTGTTTTTTTTGTTTTGAGATGGAGTCTTGATCTGTCACCCAGGCTGGAGTGCAGTGGCATCTTGGCTCACTGCAAGCTCCACCTCCCAGGTTCACGCCATTCTCCTGCCTCAGCCTCCCAAGTAGCTGGCACTACAGGCGCCCGCCACCACACCCGGCTATTTTTTGTATTTTTAGTAGAGACGAGGTTTCATCGTGTTAGCCAGGATGGTCTCAATCTCCTGACCTCGTGATCTGCCCACCTCAGCCTCCCAAAGTGCTGGGATTACAGGCATGAGCCACCGCATCCGGCCTTTTTATTTTTTGAGACGGAGTCTTGCACTGTGGCCCAGGCTGGTGTGCAGTGTCATGATCTCAGCTCACTGCAACCTCCACCTCCAAGGCTCAAGCAGTTCTCCTGTCTCAGCCTCCCAATTAGCTAGGATTACAGGCACCCACCACCACACCCAGCTCATTTTTTGTATTTTTAGTAGAGACAGGGTTTCACTATGTTGGCCAGGCTGGCCTCGAAACTCCTAACCTCGTGATCTGCCTGCCTCAGCCTCCCAAAGTGCTGGTATTACAGGCGTAAGCCACCGCACCTGGCTACAGCCATTTTTCTATGTGAAAAGCTCTTTCTATGCTAACGAAGTGTGGGAACTACGAGGTGGTGGTAACATATGGGCCACTTCGGTGGCCACAGGAGGATGGCTAGGTTGCTTCTCAGGACAACCAACCATAAGACCAACTTCTCTGTGTAATCCCCTAGATTGGGTTTGTGCTGTTCCCACCTTTTGGAACACCCGAATGGGACCAGAAGGATGAGGCCAACCTCATGTTCATCACCATGTGCTTCTGCTGGCACTACCTGGCTGCCCTCAGCATCGTGGCCATCAACTATTCTCTTGTTTACTGGTATGTCTGAGACTTTCGTGAAGGTTTTCCTCCTAGCTCTAAGCAGGACTGATGTGATTAATTCGCGCCATCTGAGTGCCGACTACATGTCAAGTTCTGTGCAAGGTACTCTCATGCAGGGAAGGTGTCACTACCCTTATTTGCAAACAAGGGGAATGAAGCTTTTCAAAATTAAATGACCTGTCTGGGTCATAGTAACCCGAGGGGCCCAGGTTTCAAATGCAGGTCTCACAGATTTTAAGCCTGTGGTGTGGTGGGGAAAACTGAAATGGGAATCAGTACCGGATGGTAGTCCCCGCTGTAACGGGTTCATTCTGGACCCATCATCTTACTTCCAGACCTGCCCTCCCTGCTTCCCAGAGACGATGTGACAATCAAAAAATAAACCAGAGCAGAATGTTAAGACAAACTGCACTCCACCCCTCACTGAAGTACTCATTAGAGGTAGATAGATAACAGCTATGGACTCCTATGCACTTGCTGTGCCCCAGGCCCAGTGGAAAGCAGCTACACTCTATTATCCCATTTAATCTTCATTGCTCTATGAAGTATGCGCTGTTAAGGCTTCCAAAAGCTGAGTAACTTGACCAAGGTCACCCCACTAATAAATGGCAGAGCCTCTCAGTGCAAGGGTGACTTTTAGCAAATGGTATTACCAGTTCTATTTGCTGTTTGGCTGCCCCTACCTTTCTTTCTAGGTCATTTCTCTAGATCCCAAGTAGAATATTAGGTTGGTGCAAAAGTAACTGTGATTTTTGCCATTATTTCATCCAGAAAGAGTTCCATATGGACCAAAGAGAAGGGAGCTCAAGTCAGTTTCTTCTAGTTCTGCTGCCCAGCCACTGAAACAGTAAACCAAGATAGGCAGGAGACTTGGCCTTAATTCTGACATTCAGTAGTTTCCACCAATGCCCCTTTATCTACTGGTATTTCCTAAGAAGTCTAGTTTATAGACATGTAATCACAGTATTTGACAGAAATATAAAGAAAATAGTTTAAGAACCAGTAGATGCCTTCACATCCTTGGGTAATGGATTAAGGGAATCTCTGGCTAATTGGCTCTTATTGTTTCTCTATTAAAGCCTTTTGACTCGGATGAAGAGACACGGAAGGGGAGAAATCATTGGAATTCAGAAACTGAATTCAGGTGACACTTACCAGACTGCCCTCTTGAGTGGCTCAGATGAGGAATGAGCCGAGATGTGGAGGGCGTAGACGTCCCACCGAACAGCTGGAATGAATGGAGTTCATCCCCCCACCTGAATGCCTGCCGTGGTCTGATCTTAAGGGTCTATATATTTGCACCTCCTCATTCAACACAAGGCTGGAGGTTCTAGAACAGGAAATCAGGCCTACTGCATCCTGTGTATCTTGCAGTTGGGATTTTTAACATAATTTAAAGTCTGTGTTGGTATAGTACCCCTCATAAGGAAAAATTAAGTAAGGCCTCCAAGCAGCAGGCCTTTGTGCCTCGGTGTAAAGAGAAATCAAGAGATGCTAAAAGCTTTACAATGGAAGTGGCCTCATGGATGAATCCAGGATATGAGTCCAGCAGGAGAACTTGCTGCTTTTGGTAACTTATCCCTTTTTCTCTTAAGAAAGCAGGTACTTTTTTATTAGAAATATGTTAGAATGTGTAAGCAAATGACAGTGCCTTTAGAGTTACAACTCTAACTTACATATTTTTAAGAAGTAAAATAATTCACAAGCTTTGGTATTTTAAACTACTGTTAAACATATCATAACTAATCATACCAGGGTACTAAACCACTGTTTATAAGTGACAAAATTAGGCCAAAGGTGATTTTGTTTTAAGTCAGGAAGCTGGTTACTGGCTCTACTGAAAGTCGGGGCCCTGATGTTCTGACTCCTCAAAGTCACCCTAACAGAAGATCTGATAGGAAAGCTGTATAATGAGGTAGAGAGAAAAATACCAGGCATGGAAGACTTTCCATTTCAATATAGCTGAAAGCAAAGGATCACGAATCCAGAATTAGTAATGTAAAGTGCTGAAACCCTCATCTTGCTCCTGGATCTGGTCTTTTTAAAAAACTTCCTTCACTGCACCTGTAATCCCAGCACTTTGGGAGGCCGAGGCAGGCGGATCACAGGGTCAGGAGATCAAGACCATTCTGGCTAACACGGTGAAACCCCGTCTCTACCGAAAATACAAAAAATTAGCCGGGCGTGGTGGCGGGCGCCTGTAGTCCCAGCTACTCAGGAGGCTGAGGCAAGAGAATGGCGTGAACCTGGGAGGGGAGCTTGCAGTGATCCGAGATCACGCCACTGCGCCCAGCCCAGGTGACACCTGCCCAGCCCAGGTGACAGAGCAAGACTCTGTCTCAAAAAAAAAAAAAAGACTTCCTTCAACAACTATTTATTAAATATCTACTTTGCAACAGCACTGAAATGGCTGTAAGGACTCCTGAGACAGGCGTCCAGCAAGGAGTTTATAGTCACACAGGAGAGACCTGCCAGTAGTTACACCGAGTGTGATGGGTGCTATGGGAGACAGGTACAAGCCACGATGAGAAAAAGGAGAGGAGGGGAAATACAGAACTTGCCCTGTACAAAAAACCCATCCCAGGCTGAGAAAGTAGCACATTAAAAAATGAAAGCATAAAAAATATGGAGAACTTAAAAAGATTAAGTTCTACAAACTGATAAAAGTGGGTTAGGACCAAGTTGATGGGCCTTAGAGACCAAATAATACTTTCCATGTGCATAGTATTTTTCAGATTCTGAGATGCGCCCGATCTCATTTGGTTCTCACAACCGCTTGTAATGTGTAAGAGCATGGGGGTCTTTCACAAAAGCTGGCAGTCCTAGCTGGGCACAGTGGCTCGTAATCCAGCACTTTGGGAGGCTGAGGCGGGCGGATCACGAGGTCAAGAGATTGAGACCATCCTGGCCAACATGGTGAAACCCTGTCTCTACTAAAAATACAAAAATTAGTTGGGTGTGGTGGCGGGTGCCTGTAGTCCCAGCTACTTGGGAGGCTGAGGCAGGAGAATCACTTGAACCCGCGAGGCAGAGGTTGCAGGGAGCCGAGATTGCACCACTCCACTCCAGTCTGGCGACAGAGCAAGACTCCACCTCAAAAAAAAAAAAAAGGAAAGAAAAGTTGGCTGGCCTAAGACCACACAGATGCCAGGTGGCAAAGCCAGTCTTCAGTATGACTCCAAACCAGGCCTCTCTCTCACCATTCCACCCTGCTACGTCACACAAACCCAGGAGAGAGAATTTAATCCAGCACTGCATGCGCTTTGGAAGAAATGCTGTACTTCACTAAGTGAAGGTAACCTCCCAGGGTCAGCCAGCCTTTCAGAGTTGAAGTCACTGCTTAGGGATTCAAAATGAGCTACTAAAAGCACTAATTTAGTTACTAGAGAACCCCGGGTTCCACTTTCAGGAGCCACCGTGGTTGGCCAGTGGAGAAACACAAGCATTCTTCATTCAACGAGTACTGAAGGACCTATTATTGGCAATCAACATAAAATGTCTTCTTTCCCTGGGGATTGGAGGTGGGCAGAAGGACCTATTCAGTTTTACTTTCAAAGAAAAGATCCACATGAGTTATTTTTAAGTGTACCATATTTTAAGAAAATGTACTATTTTCTCCAGAGTGAGGGGCTGAGGTGTGAAGAACAGCTATATTAAAATGTATTTAGATGCCCTTCACACAGCAAGGCTTGTGATGCCTCCATGGAGTAATCAACCCTATCATAAACATTATTAGATGTGGTATTAAAGTATACACTGATGACAATACTATTCTCCACATCCTGTCTCAGATGTGTTCTCTGAATAATTTTACCAATCTCTGTCAACCAGAGGCTCAGTCGTTGCCACCAGATTCCTTCTGGAATCATTCCCTACAAAACACCCACCATGGCCGAATACAGTGGCTCACGCCTGTAATCCCAGCACTTTGGGAGGCTGGGGCAGGCAGATCACCTAAGGTGAGGAGTTGGAGACCAGCCTCGTCAACATGGTGAAACCCCATCTCTACCAAAAATACAAAAATTAGCAGGGCTTGGTGGCGCATGCCTGTGATTGATCCCAACTACTCAGGAGGCTGAGGCAGGAGAATCGCTTGAGCCCAGCAGCCAGAGGTTGCAGTGAGCTGAGATTTCGGTGCTGCACTCCAGCCTGGGCTACAGAGTGAGACTCCATCTCAAAAACAAAAACAAAACACTCACCATAGCTGCGCCATTCATCTGTCAGAAACCTGAAACCAGCATATGAAGGAAGCTAGTGTGGCACAAATCCTGGGCTGTCACCGTAAACAGCTCCAGTAGGGAATTTCCACTCTACGCTATTGTTATTCCACCCACAGGCTGGATAGTGCCGAAGGTACACGTCCTGACAAGTCAGCATCCTGAAGCAACCTGAACTTTACACTCACTCCCTGCTCTCCAGAATGCACACGTCTGCATGTGCAAAAAATGACAAGCAGAGTCAGTTGACCTCAGCAAACAGGAATGCGGGCAGGGCTGTGGCTGAATGCCAGAGCTACTTTTATGAAATTCCTTGTTAATAAATTCAGAAGGGGTTTGTTTGTAGCTGGCAGTAAATACCTAAGACAGGATCTCTGGAATTTCTACCTTTTTTTTTTCTTGTTTAAAAACTGCCACATGGCTTTCTAGGTGAAATGTGATTCTTGAAAATAACAAAGATACGCAAATATCAAAGGATTATCAAACGCAGACACACTCGCCTTTCTCAGGTGGAAAGACCCATTTCCCCGCACTACATCCTACCTCTCCCCACTGCCAACCTTGTCCCGTGCCAGTCTACTTGCTCATCACAAGCTCAACCTGGGAGGCCCATTCACCTCTGCTCTCTGCAATGCAGGCTTCCCACTTCCTAAGACTGGATCGCCCCCAGGCTCGCCAGGATACATCACAGCCCTCCTGCCCGGAGGAAGGCAACAGAAAGAGACTGGACTTAGAATCAGAAGCTTCTCTTTAACTTCAACTCAGACTCATGTCTTCCAACGGTTAAAAGAGGAATGATGACACTGGTTTTACAGAATTGCTCTAAACGAAATGTCTGTGAAAGAGCTGTGGAGCCAGCCAGCCTCCCAGATCCTCCTCCGCTTCTCAGCAACCGCCTAACCACCCAACAGCTAAGCCAGCCTCCTTCCATCCCACATCCTCCAGCTCCACCTCTTCACCCAGAACCCACAAAAGAGCTTCAATACACTCCAAAAATTAAAGATATGTTTTTAATAATTTGGGCACTTTCAAGAGTCAGGGAAGCCCTATCACCTCAGAAAGCCTTTACCACTCACTGCTGCCCCAAAACAAGAGACACATATATTGTTGACAACCAGTGCTTGCATTAATTACATTTTAAAGTATCGTCCTGAGCTCTCCCTGTAGCTGACAGAGGCTGAGAAGCATGAAATAGCCAGGATTAAATGACCTGCAAATCTAGACTGGCTTCTTTTGGGGCTGGTAGTACCAGGCAGGCAGATCCCTGTTCCTTGCACCCCCCTGTCCTCCACCGTCTCTACTCTGGAGCAAGGCTCAAAAAACTTTTTTTTTTTTTTTTTTTGAGACAGAGTCTCACAGGCTGGAGTGCAGTGGCATGATCTCGGCACACTGCAACCTCCGCCTCCCGGGGTCAAGCAATTCCCCTGCCTCAGCCTCCTGAGTAGCTAGAACTGCATGCACACACCACCACGACCGGCTAATTTTTTGTAATTTAGTAGAGACAGGGTTTCACCATACTGGTCAGGATGGTCTCGATCTCCTGACATTGTGATCTGCCCGCCTCGACCTCCCAAAGTGCTGGGATTACAGATGTGAGCCATCGAGCCCAGCCACAAAAAAAAAAAAAAAAAAAAAAAAAAAAAAAAAAAAAAATTTCTTAAAAGGCCATATAGGAATTAGTTTAGGCTTCAGGACCACACAGTCTCTATGTCAACTACTCAATTTTGCCTTCGAATCTGAAAGGAGCCACAGATAATACAAACACAAATGGGTCTGGGCTGTGTTCCAATAAAACTTTATTTACAAAAACAAATGGCCAGCCCCAAGAACCTGGTTTGCAACTCTTGCTCTGGAGCAGAGCAGAATGTGTACTATCTGAACTACAACAAAGTTTGTGCTGCAAAAGCAGCACCTCTGCTGTCATTCCCCTCCTCTCTGTCCACTGGCTCTGTACGTCCATGTGAACAGGCTTGCCAAGAAGGATGAAGCGGGCAGGTGAAGCTGAGGGGGCCACAATCAAGATCCCAACACCCCTATCTTTAACAGGCAGTGCCAAGAGAATCCCATTTCAGGGGACCCACTCTACCCCGCTGCCTACGGTGTCTTCCCATCTTAAAGCCTCTTGATTACTATGCAGTTACCAAGTTGGCTACCACCTTACTAAGATTCTTGCCATTTTCTTATTCTAGTCAAAAGAATAAGTCAGTTTGGTGGAGAGGGCAGCTAAAGCCCAAGTTTGTATTTGATAAAGATGTACAACAGGTTCTTTAAAAAAATAAATTACATAAAATTTTCTGGACACAAACTCCTATCCAGACCACTAGTCATGGAGAAGACCAGAAGCCAAAAAATACAGTCCTCATGGAGAACCAGCTTATTCACTGTCTGTGCACTCTGCGACTGGTAATCCTTCCCTGGGGGTCTT